GTGGTGGTGGTGGTGGTGGTGGTGGTGGCATTGGAGGCGACGGGGGTGAGTTAGTTGGTGCTTGTTTGAGTGCCGGAGATGTACGGTGTATCACTGTCGTTGGGCTACTCCATGAATTATGAGACGGTTGTAACTTAAGGGAGCTCGAGGTCAGATCTGCAAAAACAAAAAATGCATTTGTATTAGGATCTGAACACAGGGCGTTTAAGCAAAATTTTTCAGTTGCATGTGGGTCTGAAAATGAAAAATAAGTTGTATAGACAATTGTCAAACTTCAGTGTTTTTGGATGCATAGTTTATGTAACGAATAGGAAACTTGGTGATAACTGTCGCTTGGGTTCTACAGAATCGCTAAAACTACAGCGCAATCGGCATCCCTCGTGAGCAGAGTTTGTTAGGTCTCTCCGTTCGATTGAGGATTAGTGGAGGCCGGCATTTTCTTAGCGGGTTCTCAGGTTTTCCTCCCTCCGCAAAGAATCTGTGAGTTAGCCGTGCCCTGACTTTGATCAGCCCAGAGGTCTTTTTAGGGTTTGCCATCTGTGAGTTAGCCGTGCTCTGACTTTGGTCAGCCCAGAGGTCTTTTTAGGGTTTGCCATCTGTGAGTTAGCCGTGCTCTGACTTTGATCAGCCCAGAGGTTGTTTCAGGGTTCGATCTGTGAGTTAGCCGTGCTCTGACTTTGATCAGCCCAGAGGTTGTTTTTGGGTTTGATCTGTGAGTTAGCCGTGCCCTRACATGATCAGCCCAGAGGTCGTATTAGGGTTTGAGTATAGCGAATTGCGAGCAAAAACATCAAAATTATACAATTATTCGCTGGAGTACCTCGGGAATATGGCACGGAATCAAGTATTTGAATTTCAGTCTAGCTCTCGGCTGACTTGGTCTTATCTTATCTTTTTATCTTAAATATTTTCAATGGATCTTAAAAAGAGCGATTACTTTTTTAAATAAATCATCAATTTTTTAAGTATGTCAACAGAGGAGGGTCGGTTCTATATCCATGATATCCAGATACGATGTTCTATATTTATTCTATTCTTTCATTCATATATTTTTTAATTCTTCATATCTTTCTTCGGATTCAAACAATGATATCTTACAAATTTAAACATAAAATCCTTAAACTCCTCTTTGCTTGTATCCAGCATAAGCAGTTAATCGATCTCGACCAATCTAAATTCGAAAAATGAATCAGTGCTTTCCTGGTTTAGAAGCGGTTCCCATGCGGTTCCCCCCACCCCATCCCACCCAGAGGGTGACCATTCTATCTACTGAAGATGAATTAGAAGGAAATCAGTGGGCGAGCAGCGTGTGTAGTACAGAGTAGAAATTCAATTTGTTCAAAGTAAAGGCATAAGGGTGAAAACTCCTTGAATATTCAGGGTGAAATGGTCAAAAATACTATTTTATTTTTTCTGCGACTCTATCGCATAACTTATCTTTGCTTTGGCTTTTTTCACGGATGCTAACCTAATGACAATCAGATTATAGGATTCTTGCCACAAAAAGACATTAGCACTGGCGAAAATTGGTAATCTCAACATATGAATAAATATCAACATTTCTATCACTGAACCACGCAGAAGGCGGTGTAAGAAGATTTACCGACAAAGCCGTACCGAACGAACTGAAATGTTCTAAGAAAAGTGTTTCGGATGTAGACATTTTATTCGAGTAGTTATAACCGTCATGACAACGACAAAGCCCTACCGAACGAACAGAAATATTCTAAGAAAAGTGTTTCGGATGTAGACATTTTATTCGAGTAGTTATAACCGTCATGACAACGACAAAGCCCTACCGAACGAACTGATATGTCCTAAGAAAAGTGTTTCGGATGTAGGCATTTTATTCGAGTAGTTATGACCGTCATGACAACAACGATGTATTTGTTATATATGTAATTACACGGACTAATAACCTTGCTTCGCGTTCCCTTCCAGGCACTATACCAAGTTCAAAAAAATGGTTGTGGCAGAACCAAAGGAATTATTTGAATTGTGACAATTATAAAATGGAGGCCTTTTAAGAGTTTCGTCGACTAAATTGAATCAAATCTTCTCACTAAGCTCCGCGTTTTTGACGAGAATAAGAAGTGCAGAAACAAACACAAGTCATTCCAGCTGTTAGTCTTGAATCTTGTAATGACCTATCTCCTATTGGTTATCGCCTAAAACCTTTGGCTCGATCCGACAACCTCTTACTAAGTACCTGATTGCATGACATTTTGCAACACTTCAATTTCCAACAATTCGTGAAATAGAAATTACGCGAAAATGAGCGTCGTGAAAATATAATGACGCAAAAAAGAAGTGGCCTCCAATTATTGAAAAATATAAAAATAAAGAATTTGAAATAGAATTTTTGAATCGACCYTATGAGTTAAAATCCCCCATGTTTGCGAAACGTCTAATTATGGGTAGAAAAGAATATTAAGAACTGATTTCAGCCTTTTCCAAATTAGGTGCCGAATCGATTTACCACGTAGGGCTCATGCAGTCACTATATGCGGTATATTTTTTTGGTCATCCATGAAATCAGTTCAGATGGGTATGTCCAACAAGCACTCTAGTTTAGAGATTTGGGGTTTAGATTGAAGTGAACACTAAAAACAGGATACTCATCTTGATTACCTGCTATACCTTCCGGCGTTTTCATGACTAGAAGAACGACGAGTCCTCGAACAAGACTCATAACATTGAATTGAGCCATAGTTGTTGTTTTTTTTCTTTTTTTCAATCTGGAGAGAGAAGAGAAAGAAGTGAAAGAGCTTTAGTTGAGGAGTAATCAAACCCGCGCAGAACCAACACTGCATAATAAGGTACAGTCGTACGGCAATCAGTGATTTTGTTACATAAGTTGCCTATAAGATTTATACCTTTGTGCTTCCCATACACCTGTTCAATAATGTACTCTTGGATCAAAATAAAAACAGAAGTTTTAAYGGGCAATATTGAATAAAATGACCTTTCAAAACTGTCAATGTGACTGAATGCTACCAATATTGATATGCACTTTTCATTATTATTTTCCTTACTTGCTTAATAACCATTTAAATGATAATCTCCCTCAAATGAACACAACATACCACATTATCATAGAATCAATCTAAAGATAGCTAATCTAAATACGTCATTCAGTCTTGAGGGGGGGAAAAGCGATGTTTAAGCCAATCCAATATATATATATATATATACATACAGCGGTTTGCAAAAAATTCTGTAAAAGTCACGTATATCTATATATCTATATATAAAGTAAAACTGATTTCCAGATTTAAAAAAAAAAAACAAACGATTTTCAACCAAATGTTAGCCAAATATCTATTACAATGTACACTATGATTATATTTCACTGAAAATATCGTATTTAACCTTTATCAAAAAGTTTTTTAACATTGAAAATTACCCATAATAATATATTTTTCAAAGAGTGCTCAACAGGAGCATTACGAAACCAGCTATTCGCAACAAAACAATGAATCATTTATCAGTCTAGTCTTTAACTATTTTATATATAGAGTATATTACATGGGCGCGCGGAGATACGAATTTTATCTTCGAGTGTTCAATAATTAATATCTCACGAGAGAGCGCAGCGAACGAATGATGAGATATCTATATATATATATATGTTTATACAAACCATTCATGTTGCGATATAACGGACATATGGATAATATTTAGGGTGTAACAGATTTAAATCCCCTAATGACAAGTCCACTTCAATTCTTTTTACGATCAATTATAGTTAAGGCCAAAATCGGAGGATTTTTTCAACGCTTTATAAACATCCAAAATTTGGGGATAAATCATTTTGAGGCCGATTTACCGTCAGTCCAATCTTTAAGCTAAATCGACTTCAAATTATACATCCTTTACATGACATCATTTAAGTATTCACATTTTCTTTTCTTTCTTTGGGAACTAATTCTCAGTTGGTAGCAACGAAAAAAGGGAAGGTTGTTTATGAGAAAATGTGCCCAAATGAAATGACTGTTAATTAATATTGACGAAGTAAGAATCACATATTGACTTTTGGTTCGTGGCGAATCTTCAAGTGTTACATCCCAACTCCATCCAAAAATATATATTAGATGCATGTTACTTATCACATACCAAAATATGAATAAAAGGAAATTATGTCTTGAAAAACGTGTTCGTAATTACGGAATCGAAGGATGATCAGTTATATCATTCAGATGATATGAGTCCATCTAATAAGCATGCTAATTTGGTACTTGCGAGAACGTGTATAGCTTCAGTTCTTTCGATATTTTTCTTTCTAGTTTTGCTTCACTCAAACTAGTATCAAAGTACTAAGGGTTTTTGAAAAAAATCTTGGAATATCTGACCCTTGACTGAAAATATGTGTATACGAAAAACACTGAAAAGTGTTGCTAGGATTTGTGGTGAAAAAGTTCTGATTAAAGATCTAATTTGCTCACCACGAGTGAGAGACGATAACTAACACAATCAACGCAATAAATTGTGGTAAATCAGTTTCAGGAAGATCAAAAACTTAAATATCCTTTTGTGTTCAGGTTGTTTTTGAAAATATAGGAAAAAAACAAGCCCGTAAAAACAGGGGGAAATAGAAAGGATAAACTTATAGAAAACAAAACCAAGCGCGAAACAACTGGCTAAATTTACGGCGATAACTACACTTTTTGCTTTGAAAAAATGCCGGGAAAGATTACGCAGCCCTGCTATCGATATTACGAGTCGAAGCCACCCTTTTCTAGAGTTAGCAAACAGTTTAGTTATTGTACCTTCAATATGCAGTCGATTGAAGCAAAGCTAAGCAAGTAGTCAGCTTGAGATCGGGTCAAGGTACTATTTGTGAAAAAGACTGCGTTGGTCGACCTTTAAAATTTATTAGCGCACCTGTCTTCAGACATCACTCATTTTTAAATCGTTTAAGATAGGAAGTACGCTACGCATACAGGATGGTAGTCAGTTGTCCGCGCTCTTCAATTTAACAAATATTGGACACTATACTATGCTTAGTACTGCAATTAAAACAGGACTTCGTACTAAAAAATGATACTATTTGCCGAGTTGGATTTTATTTTTTTTATTTTTTCATAGAAGTGGACAAACCGATTCAAAGCCAACGAGGATCGAGCCAAGACAAAACATTCTATATATCTGATTAGCCGGTAGGCATGCACTTATATTGCGTAAACACAAATCCATCGATCGAATATCGGAGCTAGATGACCTACCAATATATTACCAATCTATTTTATCAACACCTTTAAACCTACAAAAATGAACCTATGGTTACTCTTAATGGCCAAATGTGCCAAAGACGTGATAAGAACGAGGGAATATTATACAAAGTAAAGAGTTTACGGAGGCTAGTTGTTTACATAAACTGTTCTTAACCAATAACGAATCTTCTATGAAAAAGCATTTCTGTTTGTGCTAATGGAGCCTGATGGTTCGTACAGCAAGCAACATAGCACAATATTGAACCAACTAAATCGATGTAATAGCTGATGACTTTTGGTAGATAATTGATTTTGATACCACTGTTCGATGGTGAATTGTGTGTTAGTCGAGGTATGTCTTGATGATTGCCATTGACAAGAGATTTGTGTGGCACTGATGTGTATAAAATCGTACAGGCAGAGTTTGGTCGGTACAACAAAATTTAAACAACACATATCAAACGTTCCTGCGTTTGTTACACATTTATACGAAACTTAGGAACTCATGTCGTGTTGAATATAGAACGAGTGCAGTGAACTGGATATCTCAGACCCTTACTATACTTTCTTGCCTTATTTTATTGTAGTCATTACGTGACAGCTCATAAAAACCGTCGGTCTTACCGGCGAGATAAGACAATGATCAACACATGAAGACAGAGTACTAAGTGTAGCCGGGGGAAACCCTATAGTTTGAGGGCTACTGAGGGCAACAGGAATCACCACGTACTTGGCAGCTACTAGCTAACATTTCCACGAAGTAAAACTTCAGTTCTCTGAATCGTACAAGAGATTCAGTCTAACTAAGGATTTTTGCGAGAGAACCCGTAGAAAACCCAGCTTTATCAACTGTTCAGTAGATAGATAAATTAAGAAACCAGCCCTAAAGCTAACTGGAGGATCTAATAATCGCTGGTCAGGTGCAACCGTGGTGGTGTACGGGAAAGGGGAGGGAAGTCCAGATGTTAATTTTCAGTTTGTCGGCTTTTAGTTAGATTTTATGGCATTTGTCAGTTAGTTGTAAGTAACTACCCTGCGAGCAGAAGTGTTTTTTCTGAACTTTCCGTGGGCCTCTGCTCGCAGGGTATAAGTAAACCGAATCCAAACCTTGTATTTTCAATTTCTGTACACAGATGTATGTATATGTATAAGGTTACTGACAGATGTATACAGATCTGTGTATACACCGCATGACATATAATGTCAAGCGCTCTTATTTGACACGTAGAAGCAACCATACATAAAGCAAATAAAGTCCTTGGTTTACTTAAAAGTACCGTGGGAAGCGAAAAAAGGAAATCTTTTCGACACTCTATAATTCACTGATTCGTCCGATTCTTGAATACGCAGTATGGGTACCGCACCACAAAGGAGAGCGTCACGCATTGCATTAGGTCAAAGACAACAAGAGATGCTATATAAAGATAGACGCAAAATATTCCAATGGAACTCTCTAGTACGTAGAATGSAATTCTTCTCTCTGGTTGCCAATGCTATACAAGATAGTATTCAAAATGAACGGGTTAGAATTCAGTGATTATTCTAACATTGTAAAAGCACTAAAACGAGAGCCAATCCCAGATATAAATCCGATGAATGAAAAAGGAAACCGTGTTAGGTATGCCATAAGCAATGTTTGTTGTGCAGGGAAAGATTATTTGATGGCTAAAAAAACGCATCTATAAGCCGGCCCCCGCATAACCCTCTCGCTGGCCCTTCCAGGCAACCTTCAGGCGAGATCTAATGACCGGTACCGGTTGGATGATTATATGCGGTCAGTACTGGCAATTAATGAAGGAAATTTGGTACTTTGTTTAAACATAAAAATGATTAAAATGCTTTTTGGGGTCCAACACCTGTCTGACATGCAAATCCTGTTATGTTATTGACTAAGGTAAGTGCTATTGAGCCAAAAAATAAGTTTGGGAGTTTTACACTTGCTTGTTAAAAGAATCTTCCATCCGACTGATTGTTTTCCCGGGTTTTACATGTTTTAGGCAATTGAAATATTACATTTGTTTTCAACCGTCTAATTAAATGGATAGATGACATTTGATGTTTGATTACTCTTGAAACGTGCCACTTATCATTTCCTCAGTTATTTCCAACCATCATTTGGTAATTGGATTTATCGCAAGATCTGATCCCTTCTCTCACTCTCTATCTGTTCAGATTGACATGTCTATAGGTTGGATTGTCTTCGAGAAGCTTCATACTGACAAATTTTTTTTTCCATTCAATTCAGTCATGGTTATGAGAGAGAAAATTAATGTTTTTACAGACTAAGCTAGACATCAGTTTTCTAATTACTATTTCTTATCGTATGAAAACAAGATAAAGAACGATCAATTAGCTATTAAAAATTATCGATATAAGATTTTAGTAAGGCTACCATCACGCACAAGTTTAGATAATGGTATGCTTTGAATTCACAAGTAAACCTCTTAGCTCCTCCCATTAGCATTTGTACCTCTGTTTGCGCCCTACACGCTTTTTACCCCTTAGCACTAATTTGTCGTATGTACTCGACTAATTCATTAATAGGCAGTCATGTGTGTCGTCAATGTCAGTCTAATGGCAATTTTATAAATTGGAATAAAGTTACTTGATAGTTCCAAAAATGAAATTTAAAAATGGAGGTTATTTTTTGAGCAAAACGGGAGGAAAACTGGACTATTTCGAAGAAAACCGAGTGAGCGCGCTGTATCATTAGCTTTCCGCGATTACTGAAACATTCAGGGATAAAAACCACAGGTTTCCGATTTTCTGAAACTTTTTCTCTGACGTCAAAACGAAAATGCTGATGTGAAAAGGCTATGCTCTTATGAAGGTTTAAAGACATACGCCGCCGTCAAAATGCGTGAGCTTCAATTTCGTAAACAAAAGAATTTTTTTTTGCAAAATTAGCTGTCATTCATTCCCATGTCATGTCAATTTCTTTTCATCTTGACGTATATATTTTATACATCTCTTTTGACGACTTTTCGCATACGATATTTCGAGTTTATTTGAGGGAAAGTTGAACTGAATTTTAAACATTTAGCCAGATATGACGATATGACGAAAAATTGGCCGTGTATATAAGTTTACAGAACATTGAAGTATAGGTACAGGGAGCCCGGCTGTACATGAACAAATAAATCAAAAAAGTACTCTGAGTTTCCTGTGTTGATCCGGTAATCGTACTACCAGTGCTGGTCTTGATAGCGCACGCCCTAGTAAATAGTAAAAAGGAGAGAAGGATTGCAACAAATTTGAGTACCTATTGTAAAACCACCGTTAAAATAATTCACCGGGGTTATTTACCACCAAATTCGTATAGGTAATCGTATGGTTCCTCGTAAAGTTAAGGATTAATTTCACTTGTGTTTTCAAAGTTTTGAGATTGCCCGAGTCGCGAAGCACCAAACGATCACTTGATAAATAAACCTAACGAATGGAGAAGCGTTGTTGCGCCAACAGAACTTGGCCGGTAGATTTGAGCACGCGATTTTCATGCAAATTTGGGTCAAATGCGTTTTTATTAAACATCCCACCAGAATATAAAAAAATAAAAACCACATTCCTGAAGGGATRCGCAAACGCGGCGAAAAAGTGAAAGCACGTGTCATTTCTTGCCGGCTATATAATTCGACCAATAAAAGCCAGCTAATTGTTTTGCACAAGAATGAGCTTGCATATCATGAAGCAATAGATTGGTCGCATCAACCACCTGGTGTAAGGACAGAGTCTCTAATCTTGATGATTTACCTCTCCCAACTCCTCTACCACCACCGCATGCATGCAATACTACATGCCTACTTGTTGGGTACACATAGGTGTTACAATCCTTTGTATCCTATTACAAAGTCCTGTGGTGGTGCTACAGTTAAGCTGGCGGGTACGAGTACCATTACTACATATCCTACTGCATACTCCCTATTCTGACTACTCTGTTATTGATCCTCCGATTCATTTGTCGTCGTTATTCAGCTATTTGAGCTATAAAAAAGAGACAGAAAATACAACCACAATATAATGACATGTCATGGCATACTACATAACACCGCCTAGTAGATCATAAGCAAACCGTTAGGTACTGGAACTTGGCACATTTTGAAATAGGTTAACCACTAAATGACAGAAGTTTCTCAGCAAAAGTTTATAAGTGGACAAAGATATCGAGTTCTATCCCTGCAAACCACACCACACCACAACAACCAGTGTTGGATCTACTCTAGGAGGGGGGGAGGGGGAGGGAAGGGGTACTGCAAGCAGACTAGGCAATAAATAGTAATTGTACTAAATAGGTTAAATAGGTGAATCTATTATAACATAAGAACAAGCCTATATCGCTTCRAAAGCGATGATGTTTCGGCCCGTTATCTATTTATTGTKTGGCATTGTTTAATAAAGAACTTTGGTCTTGCTGTGGTAAATGAATGGGTCTCCTGTATTTTGAAAATGGCAGACAAGAGCGATTTCTCGGTACGCTTTCACGTTGCAAAGTCTTACGCAAATTTCGATGGAAACATTTGTTATAAAATTCTCTTGGACGAAACACATCGTAATTAAGTTTTTTGAAGATTTTAGTCGTTCTTGCTTTGAAACATCGTAGTGTTTTGGGGAAAATCAGGGCAACGTACATACATATAA